GGGGGGGGGGGCGGAGAGATGGGCGCGAACACAGGCGTGCTGGGGAGGAGAGACGGACATGAACGCGGGCACACTCAGGGAGGGGGGACGGGCATGATTATGCTGGAGGGGGGAGATGGCCGAGATCATGGTTGTGCTCCTCCAGGAAAGACAGGTGCAATCGCAGGCACAGTCATGTAGGAAATATGGGTGTGATCTCAGCCATCTCCCCACCCCCACCCCAGCATGATCGCAGCCATCTCCCCACTCGGGAGCGGGGGAGACGGCCATGATCATAGTCACCACTGAGTCAAAATTTGTATGAAATTTTTGTTCACAACCCGATCTGGTAGTGAACTGAGGCATTCGTGAGCCGAGGTACCACTATACAAGAATGCAAAAACAGCTTGGCTGTTAAAAAAAGTACCTCTGGACCATATTTATTGTGGTTGTCATTGTCCTAGGGAACTGTTCTGTGTCTATTTCACAAAAGATGCCTGTCACTGAAAGATAAACATTTAGACAAAAACATCATATATGGAGGTTGTAACATCCTTACGCAGTCCTGAATGATGTATAATGCATACTATGCTAGATGTAGCTGTTTGCAATGTATCAGGATTGGAGAGACTGATTTTTATATAGCATTCACAGGATTACAGATGGGTTACTAACAGACTACATAGATCTAGGGAGCAACTTTGTTTCTTGCAGGTGCACCCTGATCAAATCCAAGGAGTGAAGGACTGCTGTTGCGTGGTGCAGTAAATCTGTAGCCCCTGTGCTTTGGCTTGCTTTTGCTTCAGCCTACTCAGCTGGAGAGCAGGCAGTGGCACAGTGCCAAAAGGAATATGGCCTTGATTTCTCTGTGATAATCAAGGCCACGGGTGCTTCTGCTGCTCTCTGAGCTCCAACTGCCTGTGCCACACATGGTTGGCAAATATGCAGTGGGAGGAACACCTAAATCCCACATTCACACACCCTTCTGAACATACGTTATCATAACAGAGAGTTCTTATGATGTGGTTGTGTATACATTGTAAGTTGGTGCTATTTCATAATTAACTTGGCATGCATGTTAAAGCCTCGGGGAAATAATAAAAATGAACAGACCAGTATAATATATTTGTAAAGATATGCACCATACATTGGATTGATTTCAGCTATAAAAAGCCTCTGTGTTGATTTGGGCTAATTCAGTGGCCACATAAGCTGGGGTAGGCACATGGATTTCAAGAGCACATTAGCATAAGCAGTGACTGAAAACTGTGGTTCCATTGTACGATCCAGATGCACAAATCTGATTCAAAGTATGAATGCCAGAGCTGGTATAGTCCTCAGGAACATGTGCAGGTTTGCCTTTAAATGTATCACCACACTCTTACCACATCACCAGATACATGTTTGTTTTGTGGCTGGTCACTGCCTGTGTTGTCTGTGGTGCTCCAGCAATGATTTCACTGTTCCACATTGTTCATCATGAACTGCCTGAGACACATCTAGAATATTGTGAGCCAGATTCACAGAAGCACATTAATTCTGAACGGAGAAGCAAACCTTGGGCAGAAACATTTTCTGACTTGTTCAAATTGCCATCTTAGCAGTTTGTACTGCGTTTTCCCTTGAAATGCTATATTGTTTTAAAAATTAATACAGCATGTCTGAGTATCCCACAAGACATTTCAGAATTGATTTCTCTAGCTGGCCTTTCAGAATATTTCAATACTCATATTGTTGAAGTCAAGTTCCAGACAGTACAAAGACCCACTTCCCAGTTTACCTTGGGAGTGTGACTGCTGCCAGCTTATCAAATCAGGTGGAGGGCAAATTGCATTGGGAGCCAGATCTGTTAGTTCTCTCATGAACAGTTTTGTGCAGAAAATTAGCTGGATTCCCTGCTTTCAGCTTCCTGGACTCTGGGCCACTTTGCAGCAGCCCAGAGTTTGAGTTCCTGGCAAGCATAACCAGAGTTCATGGGGCGCTCACCAGGAATCAAGCCCCATGCACTGTGCAATCGGTGCCATCCTTTTGCACTTGCTGCTGCCGCCAACAATATTGAGTGAGGAAGAAGATAGGCTGCTGGGAATGGCAGCTGGGGAAGTTTGCTGCTAGTGCAACTGGGGTCTGTGAGCATTGGCGGGCTTCCTGTTGGCTTGCTTTGCAGGACTGGGCCAAGCAAGAGAGGAAGTCCGCAGATTCTGCAGGGGTGAGTTCCAAAAGGGTTCATCTCAACCCTAGTAGGAACATGTCTGCTTCCAAGCATGTATCCATGAAGACCACCAAAGCCCAGTTGCCCTGGTCTAGTAGTTCAGGAGGGTTGCCAGGCTGTGTGTTTCTAACAGAGGCCAGCTGTCCGTATGCAGGTGGGCATGTGTACCCGTGAAACGAGTCTAATGAGAAGACCCAACGTCGGCTGCTAATTCTGCTAGTCTCACCCAGCCTCTCATTAATTTGAGTCTAGTCACCCCCACTGTGCACTGAGTAGGGAGTTGGACCTGATGCCCCTCTGGCCCCTTCCAACTCTACTATTCTATGATTCTAGGATTCCAAAAGTGCTCTAAAAGTACCCTATTTAAAAATATCTGGTAGCCATGCAAGTACAAATGGAATGATCAACTGATCATCTACATATGTTTACATATGAAATGTTGTCTATTTATGTTTATTTATGTAAGCCGTCCTGAGACGTTAAGCAATGGGACGGCATATAAAAACTCCAAATAAATGAATAAATATTATTATTATTATTATTATTATTATTATTATTATAACATTTCTATGCCGCCCCTTGCCGAAACCTCGGGGCGGCTTACAACATGATAAAATACATTGAAATACAATAGTACATAATAAATTACCATTAAATATAACAATACAAAAAATACATTGATTTACAAATACAAAATTAAAATTATCAGTATAAAATAAAAATATAGGAGGAGAAAGAGAAGGAAGAAGAAGTTGCCCAGGCCAGATCATATGTTTTAACAATTGAAATGATGTTTAAATAAAAAGGTCTTTACCTGGCGCCGAAAAACCAGTAATGACGGTGCCAGGCGGACCTCTTTGGGGAGTGAATTCCATAGGTTGGGCGCCACCGCAGAGAAATATGAATAACCAACACTTCTGTTTGGCAAAAGAGAATGCTTTCTTTATTTTTAGGTGCATGTATTACATCAGATGTCATCCTGAAAGAGTCATCCTTGCCTGCATAGGAGAAAGCAAGTGAAGTACTTCTTAGGAATGGCATCTGCCATCCATGTTTTTTTCCTAAGCACTTATATTTAAAATATCTTTCTGGGAAATGTACACATGCACATGCACGCATGCATGCCAAACTGCCCGATGAATCCATGACAGTGGTTGCAGACCTCTGTTATTTGATTGTTTCTGTGTCACAGGTTCAGGTTGTGAGGTTCAAACTGGGCTTGGTACATCCTTGGGATGCTTCGGAGATCTTTGTTTTAAATGCTTCCTTTTTCTGATTTGCTTTTGCAGTCCTTCACAAGCAACCCAGAGAAGTGTGCCTTTGTTTGCTCGAACTTGGAAGGATTGCTGCCAGGTAGGCAAAAACTTTAAAGAACCATATTGAAGGAGCAATATTTGCTCTCTTGACAGCAGAAAGCATTGCTGGTACAGCTCATCTCCACGCTGACATTTACACTAGCCCGGGTCAAGGCAAAGGTCCAGCTGTGACTGCACGGGAGCATATTGTGGGCAGTTGTTCAAACAAAAACAATCAAGGCTGCCTTAATACAGTCGTGAAGTTTATCTGCCTGCTTCAAACTGGGGCAGGAAAATCAATATTAAAACTTTGCAGAGTAAGTCATTCCAAATTTGATCATTTTTCTCTGCACTCTGAAATATTTACCCCAATAATTGAGCCATTTGCTCTTTAAGTTTTGATTTAAGTTCACTGGGGTGATTTGGTCCTTGGTGAAAATGATAGCATGATTCCAGTGGTCATCCAAGCACTAATGGAGGCCTATCCTCTGACTGGGCTGGGCCTTCTAGCAACACCCCAGGAGTTGTTACAAGATCCCTCCCATGAGAAACAGGGTGCTCTGCTGTTGCTCACCCAACTGCAGGTTAATCCGAGCATCTGCAGGATTCAAGTTGAAGAGTTGTGACAGAAAGGACCAACCTGGCTAATAACCCAGTTATGCCCTCCTGTTTTCCTTTTGAAAGAAACACAAGCCAGTTTCCATGGTCCCCCTCCTCTCCATTTTAACCTCACAACAGTCCTGTGAGGAAGGATAGGCTGAGAGTCCATGACTTGCCCAAATCACTGAGCAGGCTTCAGGGCTGACTGGGACCTCCTAAGTCCCAGTCTGTCACTAACCGCTATTCCAGAGTGGCCCTCATATTGCAATGAGGGAGGCAACCCCCTCGCCTCACTGAGTTCCATTATGAATGCTAGCGAAGGTGACTGTGGAAAAGTCTTTCATGTTAAAACTGATTTTCTTCTATATTTGAAAATAGCTGTACCAATTAGTTCATTACTGACCCTCAGTGCAGTCTCCATTGTGCTGATGTGGGGGCAAAGCAAGGGATGAGTAGACCCCAGCCAGGCAGCAAATCTTCATTGCTAGCCATTCTGTATGCTACCATATCATTTTCCTATTGAAGGATGGTGTGGTCCTGGCTCATATCGTGGCCTTGGCATGAAGAACAAGGTTTCTTATGGCTGACTGCAGTGGGACCTCTGCTGGAGTGGAAACTCAAAGGCATCATTTGTGGCTATTCAGTGGCTACTTTTTTCTGAAGCCATCCAACAAATACAGAGGGCCTAAGAAAGGGGAAAAGGCTGTCTCACATTTTATGTAGTGAGAATGCTGCCACATCTAGATATCTTAAAAGGCTGCCATGATTCCCCCTTTTCCCCAAGTTCATGGAGCAGACAAGATGGATTCTAGAACTGCATTGAGATGTTCAGCAATACTGGAATAATTCTGCAAATGGTGGGAGATGAATACATGGATTTTGCCTGTCAGTCCAACCCCTCCGAACTACATTTCTATATAGCACTGTATTCTAGATATTATCATCAGTGAATTTCTTTCCTGTGCATGAAGAAGCTGGAAAAGCTGGGCTTTTTTTAACCCAGGTAGGGTTTACAGCTGAATGAGGATGGGAAAGGGAAATTATTTAAATCCAACTATTCTGAAGTTAGAAAATTGTGGTGGGTTAGAGGGAAAAGCTGGATTAAAAGGAAACTGTATTCCTTAGAAGAGCATGAGCACAGCATCTGATGAATAAGGTTGCATGCAGGTGCAGGATTAGGGCCTCTTGGGAAATGAATGATTTACAGCCTGTCAGCATCTCCAGACAGACAGGAAGTCAATGGATTGTGTATAGGTGTTTGCCCCAGCCTTAGCCAATATCTCATTAAACAGCAGAAGTGGCTATCAGCTACCACAACTACGGATGTCTCTCCTAGTTTTCTACATATTTATTTTCATAGGTCAAAACCCATGTTTAAAAATTGAGCTATACATAATGCATCTTTGGCCTTCATACCACAGAAGGTTCTTATAGCCTAGCAAGTTTGCTGTTTTCACTGACTGAACATTTTATTAAAACACAGGGGTTTGGAATTGGGTGCGATGGGGGGCTGATGTGTTGTAATGCAGTTCCTGGCAGGGACTAGGAAAGCCATGCTCAAAAGCCCGAGTTGGGTTACTATATTCATTCACACAAACTGGTATGGCTAAAACTGTCTAGCTTAGTTTCCACAACTTTCCAATTTTTTGAAGCACGAGTTCATTCTGACCCATCCCTGTACCTGAATTCAATTTTGGGGTAAAATGTCTTTATGAAAATACATACACATATGCATGCCAATCTCTTCCTAATATAGAATTATTTTGCAGGAAAGTTTTCCAAATATACCTATTTTTAAAGAAGAAATTTCCCTTATGTACCCTTTTGCATTCCTTTTCCCCTCAATAACCATTTTGAACAGTGTTCCCTGTATACATTTTTTAATGGTTTTATTTTTCAATCAGGGAATTCAGAGAAGTGAAAACAAAGAAACAGAGAAACAGAGCAAGTCAGAAGGGGTCTCCCGGGCCATCTAGTCTGACCCCCTAAAAAAAGTGACTAAGGACAATTTATTTATTTATTTGAATGTTTTTATAAAGTTGAACTGTTCTCTAAAACAGTATACAATAAATTAAAACTACACAGACTCAGAATCCCAACCAAATCCTAGACCCATATTAATTTGAGAAATACAAAATAGGTATTAAAATATGGTCCAAACAAATTTCTCCCTGGTCCCAGGCATAGGATTACTGTTCAGATGATAAAATACTGCTGTGAAATACCTGAAGCACAGGTGGAATTTAAATACAAAGAATAGCAAACAAGTGGGAGCTCCAAACAAAATGCCAGAGCGTAGCCTTCTCTATCTAGGTACCTTCCAGATGTTTTAGGAGATGTATCCTATTTTAAAGAAGATTTTTGTCCTTTTATGAGAAGGATGTTCAATTTCAGTGTCCTTTCCATGAAAGGCAAATTACAGACTGGTATATAAGTATACAACACAATTGGGTTGTAATGAGGGACTTTCTGTAATGATTTTATCATCACCCTTTCATTTAAGATTCTAATTCATACAGTGCCTTCTTAAGGAAGGATTCTCTGTCCATTCAGCCAAGCCATTGCTTTAATTAGCCAGGAAGGGAAGGATCCAGTGCATCAGCTTCACACTGCAGAATTATGTCAGACATGTGACATAACATCCCAAACAGAGTGCATGGTCTGCAGTTCTTTAGGGTACTGAAACTCATGAATAATCAAATCTGCAAAAGTTCAACCTGCAAAAGCTGAGGTTTGACTGTACTAGTGGAAGAGTATAAGCATGAAGTATTATTATATTTTTTACCATATGTATTAGGCAATGTAACTAATACCATTTACCTTTTGGAACATCATTGTATACAATATTAAGTGCTTTGTAAGCATGGGTCACTTTATGTATTCAAAAGGTTTGGTGTGGAACCTCCTGGATTAATAAAGCTTGAAAAGGAGATTGAACAAGAAGAAACACTTTCCACCCCTCTTCCATCCCCTTCACCTTCCCCATCAAAATCTCCTGGCAAAAAGAGCACAGGAAAGCTCCTGGATGATGCGGTGAGTGTATGGCAGGCTGATGGGTTTCAATACAATTCTTACTCAGGCTTCCCATGTAGTTGAGAGCTATACTGTTGCAAGGGATAAAGGGGAATATCAATTATTAAGTTAGCTGGTAGTGCTTTTTATGGAATCTGTCATAGAATACTAATTTGGAGGAGTTACATGACTGATATGCCATCTAGTTTTCTGCATGTGCTTCATTCCAAGCCTCTACAAAGTCAGTGCCATTAATCTGGACTCCACGCTTCAGTTTTACACTGTGGGAACAAAATCCCATCACACTAACATTTCATACCTTAGTGCTCTGTGATTGGCGTGAAAATGCTGGGAGTTGTAGAATAGTTTTCTGCTGAAACACCCAGAGACTTGAACCCTAAGTTGCTCAAAGACCTAAGGTGTTGAGTTCTAAAAATCAAAAACATTTTTAAATCCACAGTTGTGTGCTTCAGCACCTATTTCATGGAAACACTGGGCTACTTCCACTCACATTGGCAATTTTCAGGGTATGTTGGAACAAGCCCTTGCACCAAGGAATGTACAACCTATATTTTGGGAATGCAGAGACCACAGAGGATGTGGACTGATGTGGAGACAGGAGTAAACAGAGAATAATCAATATTTGGGTAATTACACTAATTTAAGTTTAGCTACCCTTTGCCGTGTTATGAACCCCTGTAGTGGGACCAGGGTCTAGGGGTTGTCTATCAGGTCTGGGATGCAGGCAGCATGTATCCACCCCAAGAACACCAAGATAGGGGATGGTAGAATGAAGGGCCAGAAGTGAAGGCAAACTCTGGAATAGGCAAAGGTGAAATACAAACAAGGCATGGAAGAATCAGAAACAAAATCAAAGTTCCCTCTAAAGCAAGACTGCGCAAGGTAAAGTCAAATAGAACATGGACATGGTAAGGAAGGGTCTTGTTGAAGCAAGGGCTGTTAGGACACAAGGTCAATCAAGGGCAGAACTAACCACGATGTGGTCCCTGCAAAGGCTTGAGTTGCTGTGGCAAGAGTGGGCAGTGCAGGAAAAGCTTCTAGAGCTGCTCTGGGTGGTAGCACAGGCGCAAATTTTCACAAGTTCGTGCAGGAGTGCCCCGGTCCTGTAGGCACTTCCAGGGTGAATCCCAAGGGAGCTTTGCTACACCTTCAGATCCTGACATACCCAGTGGTGTTTAAGCTGGATTTTGAGGATGGAATTGAAGGAGATGAAGCGTGGTGTCACACAGGTGTTTTCAGGGATGGTAGACAGCCTGTGATGCTGCAAGGGAGAAAGGGGAGGAATGTTTGAGGCAGTTCTTTGGACAGTTGAGAGTGGTGCAACCTGAGGAGGTGGATGCATTTTGATGCACAAAGAAGACCAGGAGGCAGGGCTATGGTGGGAGCCTGTCAATCTGGCAGCCAATTGAAAGCCAGGACAGTGAGTTAAGGGGGTGGTCCAGATGTGTGCTCAAATCAAACCCATATTATGAATCTGACTGGTGGTGGCTTCGAGGTGTCAGGCAAAAAATTTCTCAATCTCAGCTGGTTTTAACTGGAAAGCAAACCTGAGGCTTTTGGCAATTGGTGCATTGAGAACTATAAAGTTCACTTTCTGGTTCATAAGTAAAACTGCACCTAATCTGAATAAGTACAGCTCTGAACAGCTAAGGGTTAAACAGGAAAGGTGAAAAAAGAATTCTAAAAAAGAACCTGTTACTATGGCAACATGTATATCACATGGTGGGATGTGCCACCTGGGAGTTACAAAGCCTCTTTGAAAGGCCCTGTGTCACTCCTGAGCTATAAAGAACAGACAGAATTTGGTGCATTTTAACAGTGCTCATGCGATATAATTTGTTGAAATGCAAACTTGGTTAGGTTTAGCATTTTTCTCTTGCACTTTTAACTTTGCAAACCCTCTCACTGTGGCTGTCAGGGAAGGATGGAGGCAAAGCTTATGTGTTGCAGTGTAAAGGCAAATGCAGTTCCTGATGATGAAGGAAAGGGAGAAGAAGAAGATGAAGAATAATTGAGGTGATCTTTAATTTACAGAATAACACCTAAAGAACACATACTTAAGCCATTCAGTGTGATCTCCAATCTTTCCTCCCTGTGACAACAGTAATTGTAAAATTAGCTGTGGTTTTCTTCATAGGATCCAGATGTAAAGACTCTCTTTACTCATTTGGACTCTGTGCATGCAACACTGAAGGAAAGACAGAATGCTCAATCTCCTTTCCCTCTAAAGTGTAGGGTAACTTTCTCAAGTGGATGCTTCCCATGCAGTTGGGAAGGCAGGGACATTGGGATGGAGGAACATCTCATGGACTTCCTTCATGGATCCAGGAGAAAGAAAAGATGGAGGGCAACCTCTCCCCTCAGAAAACTGACTCCTGCCATGTGTTTCTCCTGCAAGAGAAACAGCTACAGATCAGGGCAGGGCTAGTGTGCTCCGCCTTCTCCTATATTTGGCACACATGGGATGGGAATGCCTAAATAGGGCTGAAGTTAATACAGGACTGAATGCAAACTTCCCCCTGGTGCCCAGTTTCAACATTGTGATGTTGCTGATACTTTTGGAAAACAGCCATGGGAAGGTCAGAGAGAAGGCCTTATGACCTTTTTGCTCAAAGATAAAAGAGCAGTATCCAGACTCAGAAGTCCTTCAGGAATAATTGGGGCAAACTTTTGCCACCTTCATACATTACTCACAGCATTGGTAAGGTGAGGGAACAGCAGTAGAAGCCCATTTAATGAGGATTCCCATCCATTTTGCACTGGAGTTAGGTCTTCGCTTGGTGGACCTGCTAAGTACTGCAGGGTAGTTGAACAGGGGAAGGACTCATGCCATTTCTCAGACACACTACTGGAGTGCTGTCCCAGCTGAATGTGAAAAAGGTCCCACTCATGTAGCTATTATAACTTCTTCCCATCCCACCACTCTTAAGTTCCCTGCTGAAAATATTTGCAGGAAAAGTGTTCACTTAGTCTGTATGTCTTGACAATCTTTGGTCATTAGAATATCCCTTTCATCCTAGTGGGGATTGGCACTTCAAGCCTCACAAGTTTCTTGGGACACCCCCTTCTTCCTTTCCCCCCGAACTGCTGGCTTATATATGTCATATCAAGAATGAAACATGATATAGAACAGGCAGGATAAGGGAAAGCCTCCTTGTGCCTGAAAGAGAGGAGGGGTAGTGGGGAGAGATCCAAGGTTGGAATGATACCACATCATTTCCCCCCATGGGTGCAAATGTTTTCTTTGGCCTTAAATCCAATACTTCTAGTTTATAATTGATAGATACTGTTCCACTTGGGGAATAGATGGTGATTGTGGTTCATGAAATGCCAACATTTCCCCAAATGTTGGGATGAATTTTCTACTAAACTTGCTAATGTCAGAACTGTACATCTAAATACCCTAGTTTACAGTTTTTCAAATTACTACTTTTAAAATTTTAAATAGACTACATTTCAGATCTTTTTCCTTCCTCCTAAGAGGAAAAGAGAGATCTTGTAGGCAAAGAGCAAACCCAACCATAAGTTTTATTGTCCTGTGGCTTCTAGACCGTGTCTGAGGGACCATATGATTTTTTGGATTCCCAAATCTGAGGTCAGATTTTGACCTCAGACCAGGGGACTGGAAACCGGATCTCTGTTCCCTCTCCCCAGGCCCCTCTCTGCTGGCCTGGAAAGAACCACTCTGGCTGCTGTCCAGGGTAGAAAATCAACCTTGGAAAAGGGTAAGAGGAGGTATTATGGGTGTGGATGGGGAAGTGACTAGGGAGGCTATGGAACATGGTATCCTGAAGCTTTCCAAGCTTTCTTTCATCTCCCCATTTCAGGTTGTTGTTGTTAGTCTCGAAGTCGTGTCTGACCCATCACGACCCCATGGACAACATTCCTCCAGGCCTTCCTGTCCTCCACCATCCCCCGGAGTCCACGCAAGCTCACACCAACTGCTTCAGTGACTCCATCTAGCCACCTCATTCTCTGCCATCCCCTTCTTCTTTTGCAATCTATTGTTCCCAGCATTAGGCTCTTCTCCAGGGAGTCCTTCCTTCCCATTAGGTGGCCAAAGTATTTCAGGTAGACAGGTGAAAAAGCCCATCTATCAAAAAGAGGCTGCCACTGCCACACCTCCTTTTCTGCACCGAATGGCCATAAGTCTCCAACTTAAGTTTAGGGGGAGCATGATGTGCCCCAGTCCCAACCCTGTTGTGCATTCATGCCTTTTTCTTCAAAGGTATTTAATATGTAAATGCCTACCTTGGTTTGGTGCCATTCGGAGGGTAGGGTACCAGAAATTTACCAGAAATTAAAGTCAACAGTGAACAATATTGACTAAGACAACATATTAATCTAATCTGGGAAGGACAGTCAGAAGAGATACATTTTTAACTTCCTCTTAAAGGTAGGAATTTGGGAAATCAGATGCATCTCTCCCAACAGACCATTCCACAGTTTAGGACAACCACTGCAAAGGTTCTCTAGATAGTTGACATTATTCTTACAGAAGCAGACTTTAGAAGAGTATCCCCAGAGGCCCTTAGGTGTTGAGGCAAAATGTATGGGCAAAGGCCCTCCTGAAGTTATTTTGGGCCCAAGCCATGTAGGGCTTTAAAGGAAATGACCATGACCTTGCACTGTCTCTGGAAACATTTCGGCAACTGATACAAAGACTTTAAAATAGGTGATATGTGGTCTCTCCATGATGGCCCAGAGACCAACCTGGATGCCATATTTAGTACTAGTTTTAGTTCCTAGATTACACATAAGGGTAGTCCTATGTGGAGGGCATATTCACAAGCACCCAGATTCAGAAGTTGGGTCATCTAAGTCAGAGGTAGGCAACCTCTAGGTTTACTGCAAATATTTTGGACAACAGTTTCTGGGATCCCTGGTCATGCTGGCTAGGGCTGATGGAATTTGTAGTTAAAACCTCTGGAAGTGGAATTATATGGGTGGCTTTATTATTGCTTGGCTATAATGTAATTAGAAAGCCAGGCTCAAATATACATATCCCACAAGTTCTTTATTTGTACAATTATAAAGAATCTAAGATATTTGCTCCTGAGCATCCATTAGTCTCCTGTACAGGCTGAATCCAACCAAGAGAAAAGAAGTGCAACTAACCCTCCTTTTAAGAAAGCAGACTCCTTGGCTTGATACTTTTGCATTTCCAGGGTCCCAAACTAGTTAAGCCACAAGAGAGTTAAAACTAAGTCATATATTTTATCATGCATCACAGCTTAGTAACTAGCCCTTTGCTAGTTCACAAAATTTAATAACTTTTAAACAACTTTAACATATTTAATAACTTTAATAACAATGGAGTGAAGATCAGGGAACCAAGATTCAAGGTGGATCCCAGGAAGTACTTCCTGATGGTTAGGACCGATAGGACATGGAATGGGCTTCCACAGGAGGTGGTTGAAGCCCCATCGGTGAGGTTGTTTAAGGATAGGCTAGACATGCACATGGTAGGCATGTCATGAGCAGAGCCGGCTGGAGCTGGGGGTCCAGTAGACCCCTTCTGACTCGCTCCGTTTCTGTTTCTAAACTGAGAATTTTTTTTTTAAAAGGATGGAACAAGCATACAGGAATTTAAATTTAAAAAGACAAACTTATCTATCCAGTAAGACTGCTTTTCAGCAGCCATATCAAGAAAATTCAACATCATCACACTTCCTATATACACAGGTAAAGATTCTCCTTTTTTTGTTGCAATAGACATCTTTTTTGGCTTTTGACAAACAAGTACAATACAAAACAGAACATCAGAATATATAGACATAAAACATATGCTTTGTACATTGTTGGAAACAGAACGCCAAACTAATTCATCTCTCAGTCTTACCTAGCAAGGCTCTTAATGTGCTCCTATGATGAAACATTAGGGGAAAAAAATCACCCCCACCCCACAGTCTTTTATCAATAAGTATTTTTTTCAATAAGTATCAATAAGTATTCTATTTTATCCCTCTTTCAGTCTCTCTTTGAAGACTGTTGCTTTATGAGCTAGATCTCCAAAGGTCTCTGCAGTAGTAACTGAAGTGGATGAAATCTTTAGAAAATGCTTCTCACATTTTCCTTCTTTTGACATCATAACTTTAGGTCAATGTCCCTCCTAGAAAACTACATTGCATGGAAATGATTGTATTCATGCACTTGTCAGTGTTGGATGTTTTTAAAGTTTCCCCCCTTTTTTAAAGAAATAAGCACTAGTACCTGAATGTTAAATTAGAGTTCACTCAACCAGATCTGCTCTTTGTCAGTGATCTCTGTGTTACTTCCATTTCACCGACAAGTTCCACATACACTAAATATTAATACAACTCGATAGTATCTAACACAGATGTGATTCCCAAAATGGGGCCCTTAATCTTATCATTCTATTCCATGCAAGGAACAGGTGAGTCATCAGGTTGCTATGAGCATGATAAATGCAACACAAAGGCATAATTTAAGCAGTGAAGTAGGACATGTTTGGCAGTTTTCATTCTGACATGGCTTTGCAGACTGGCTCATGGTTGCCAGGATTCAGATCTGGGATTATGCTAGCAAGTATTCAGTAGCTATTTTCCATGATTTCATAAGCTTATGTCCAACTTAAATATGAAGCTGGCCATGTGGAGGGGAAAAAATCCTTTCTGTCCCATGATGTGTTCCACACTTATAGCTTCTTATATAAAACAAGCTCTGTTCTGTACACTGCAGCATTATCAAATCAATGCTGCTTCTTCCAGTTGCTAATGCTCCATATGTAGAGGGCAGCAAGTCAATTTAAACAATTTAAACTCAGGATATGTAAAGAGTGGTGTAACCAGGACTGCACTTTGGGGCAGAGGTCGTGAACCCATTCAGCAGAATGACTAGGAGAGTCCCTCACTGCAGCAGGCCTGGTTACCCCCTTCTGAAGAATGTAAAGTAGCAGCACGTTGCCATCAAAGCAGCCCGGCAAAGCCTTTAGGTCTAGGTGTAAGACACCTTACTATTGAAAGGCGCTCTTGCCCTGCTGCCACTAGACTATTTCCAGAGCCTAAAATTAAACAAACTGCCCCATCATTCCCATAAGAATCTTCAAATTCAGACTACACCTACCTGAAGAAGTGAAGGACAAGGGTAAATGAGAAGAGCTCACAGACCTGTTCATCATAATTATTGATGAAGCAGAAATTCCCAGAGAAGGATTCTTTCAGGTACCAGGTGAAGACCTTATTTTCTCAGGAATTTTAGCCTCTCATTCTCTGTTGCTTTACTGTATTTTCAGTCTCGGTAGGTTTTACTTTGTGCTTTACTTCTCATGAGATTATTGCATTACATTTTTTCCTCATCTTTCTGTCATTTGCAAGGAACTCAAGGCAGCTTACAAGATTCTCAGTGTCTCTTCACAACAACTGCCTTGTTATGCTGAGAGTCTGTGACTGGACCAAAGCCACCCAGTGGCCTTTGTGGCCACGGGCAAACCAGAGCCCAGGTCTCCTGGGTTTCAGTCCAATATTAAACCACTGCTTTATAATGCAGTTTTAAACGTTAAATATGTGCAGTGTAATTTATGTTGTATTGTGTGGTTTTTATTGTTATAAACTGAGCTCAGAGATCTCATTTTCCCCTCTGTAAAAGAAAAGAGAAAGAGGATGCAAATGAGAACAAGAGTGGGATGAACTATGATACAAAGTGGAATTTGGAGAAGCTCTGTATACCCAAGCATCCCATTCTCTCCTATGCCTTAGTAGAGTTGACCTTCCTTATGATGCAGCTGATTTAACTACTGTTTTTAGAAGACCACAATGGGGAGGGGAAGCATATTTGATTAACACTGGAAGCGTGTGAAAGTGGAGCTTGTGGATTCTCTTAAGGCCATGATGGAGAACCTTTTAGAGACCGAGTGCCCAAACTGAAACTCAGAACCCACTTATTTATCGCAAAGTGCCAACACTACAATAAAACCTGAATTTGCTGACCACCAGCACAAGTGGGCAACGTTCCACTGACCACCAGCTTTTGGCTGGCCCTGAAAAAGGCATCTGAGTGTATTTCCTACCTGAGTGTATTTCCTACCTTCTGCTAAAATCACAGTCTAAGCAAATCCCTGGCAGCTCACTGACTGGCCATGCAAAAGCAACTAATGAGTGACGTCATTGCCTGGCACCCTTAATCTTTCCAAATATGTGCATGGCTGCTGGGACGGTCATGTGTTGACAGAGAGGGCTTTGTGTGGCTAATGAGTGATGTCATTACCTGGCGCCTTTAATCTTTCCAAAGATGCACACGGCTGCTGGGGTGATCAGGTGCCGACAGAGAGGGCTCTGCGTGCCCCTTTGGGCATGTGTTCCATAGGTTTGCCATCACTGCCTTAAGGCCTTCACCATCACCCTTTTCTATAATCTGCACACTGTGGTATAGTAGTGTGTTAGGTATTAAAATTGAGCAAATAGACAAAGAGTGGTGCAGAAGTTAAAAACTGCTTCGGTAGACCCAGTGGTACTTTTATGTGTCACTTTTATCTATTCGGCTAGACCTGAATCCTGATATCCACAGCCCAAGGGGCCTCCAAATGATAACGTAATGGTGACAAGTGATGCATGCAATAGCAAAAAGCTCTTTCCTTCCTCCTTCTCTCCCTTCCTTTTTAGTATAGTGACCACTTCGCAGTTTGGGGACAGCTGGCCAGCCATGTGCAGATGCTTATTATATTGTTTTTATGGAAAAATTATGTATTCCTTTTCTGCACCAAAGTGGAGTATTCTCACACATGTTCTGGACAACTGAAGACAGTTCCTTTTATGCCCATATTCACGATGGTAGTTTGAGTTTAAATGGTGGAACTACAAATGTTTCACCGAAGAAATATTACTTTAATATGGTGGATAAACAATTCTTTTTTCTCTTTTGCTGTAATAAATTAGGCAAGCAGGGGCAGTAGTAATACATGGAATGATGCAGGAGGGAGAAGAAAACTATTGGGTGTGCACTTCCCAACTGAAGTTATATATTTGGCTGCCTACGTACATGTTCAGGAACTGAAATAACCTACCTGGACCACCACTTGGTCTCTCCTTCTGTGAAGAAGATCCATTAAGTTGAAGGAGACATGATTTTAGAAAAGTCTGTAAATGTCAATAAGAGGAAAGGAAAGTTGAATATGTCATAATGGTTACAGTAGTTCATTAAATATATTAACATGGTAGCATATGCATCATTTTTAGGTCAAACATATTTCTGAAGATCCTCCTTGTAAATGCCCTAGTAAATTTTGTGTGGAGCGTCTCTCACAAGGAAGATACAGAGTTGGAGAGAAGATCCTTTTCATCAGGGTAAGAAAATAAGCTATTTATTTTATGAAACAGCATCTGGTAAAGCTTTAATAGTAAATGCTCTACTGAGTATTATCTTGCCATGAATGTGTGTGTTTTACCATTACTGGATGGAATCTTTCAGGGATAGGATTGACATGTCTGCATGCATAAAAATATCCAGATGGAGTAAATAGTTCTCTGATCATGTTGTAGCTTCTATGATCATTCCTTTGTCTTCAAAAAATTGCTTTCTTGCATAACATGTATGCCAGTCATCTTAAGTTGGTGCCCTCTGGATGTTTTGGACTACAGCTCTCTCCAACCCCAGCCAAGGATAATGAGGGATTGTAGTTTAAAACATCTGGAAAGAAACAGTTTGGGGAAGGCTATCTATCTATCTATCTATCTATCTATCTATCTATCTATCTATCTATCTATTGCTGGCTTGTTGCAGAAGATCCAAATGTCTTTTGTCCAGATAACATTTTATTTGTGGGTATGTACAGCACAGTGCCACAGGGTGAAGCTGTGAAACTGTCTTTTCTCCTACCAAGTTTTGAATCTGTTGGAAATCTATTAGTATTGTATGAAATGGGCTTCAGCGGCTGTCTGAGCTATCATGTGCATAGCACCTATAATGCAAATTCTGCATAGCAGCATAGCTCTTTCCATTCTCCCTGTGCCCATGATAATTTGCGAACTTCCTTCAAATTCTGTATATTCGTTATTTTTGAAAGTCTGAGTGTTCACTGCTGCATTTTGGCAAGCCCAATTCATGCATGGAATCAAATCCCAGTGTGGCCCACTCCAATTCCAAGTCTTTGTTATCACATTACAGTCCTGTGTGCAGAAATGAAGATGTTCTTCCATCCACAGCAGTGCCTGCAATTTTGCAAACATCCCACTTTTTTGCCTTGCTATTTAGTACTTCAAAAGTTTTTGGCTTGACCTTTCCAGTGTTGTAGTGCTCATTTAATTTGTTAAATTACAGAGGAATTGCACTGGACTGTGGCTTCAGAGGTTATTTGAAACTAAGTTTATAAGGGGGCATGACAAACTCTTAACTGATCTTCTGGACAAACCTTTCTCCGACTACATTTTTTAAAGAGAAATTTTTAATCTGCTGGGAAGAAATATTATATGGTTTGGAATTGTGTCCTCAAGCCAAATTGTGGTAATACAGTGGTAAGAAAAGTAGCAATAATGCTCAAAAGAAGTTTCTTCTTACAAATCATACATGTTTTGGGTTTGACTTTTGGTACTGAAGTCAGGTTCTGGGGCAGCAACCTGACAGTCCATGCATAAATTTCATCTTGTCTTTATTTTCATTCTTGTTGTATACAAAACTTATTTTAAGATGCTTGCATGCAACAGAATTTGTTAAAATGTTAAAACAACAGAGGAATTGAGCTGTCATTCAGCTAAGCTTAAATTGTTTTGCAGCAAAATGCATCTGAATACCTGAACTTTTCATATATGCCAGCACAAGATGTTTCTACCCAAGTATGGCTTGTATTCACTTTCTTATTTAGCCTCTCTTTTCTGCAGGACTGCTGACCCCCAGGAGTTGCTTCTGGTAAGGCTAGGGGTTTAACAGGATGTAGTAAGCAGGAATAGGCAGGATTCCCTTTCCAAAAGTTTCTTTCCACTTTTAGTTTCTAGTATCTATCTCAAATACATGTATCAGCAGTTTTCCTACATTAAACTCTAGCAAGAGCCATTTATGACCTACCTGTAAATTGGTTCTACTAGCTGCTTGTTAGAGTCTGTGATCAGATTAAATCCTACTCTGAGCTGAGCTTTTCCTTGATACTCTTTTGATGTTAGTTATTTAATCATTTGCAAAGAGGCTTTTTCTGGACTGAGATATTAATTGCATAGGTGTTTTCATATACATAGGTTCCATCCCTACATTAAGCTTGTTTAGTATTCTTCTCCACCTGTAATACTAAAGGAGTTATCAAGATGCTAACTCATAGTACAAAGTTTAGCAAGGAATGGCAGAGCAGTTGCTAAGGTAACAGAGACCAGGCATTTCTTTGGGGACCAGGATATTAGCAAGGGCTTGCCTGCTTCTCTCTCTCTTTTTCTCTGCAGAAAGGTTTATAATTGTCTCATGAAGACTGACAGCACTAAAATACAATAATTTTTAAATGACATTTCATACATAGAGAACCAGGCAGTATATTGATTCTGAAGTTTCCGATTACCTAGGTAAAATATGGAAGAAAACAAAATCAAAATGCAACATATTTGTTATTGTTACTGCTATTATCTGATATTTATATAGTACTAGCAGTATACATAGCATGTCGCACGTAGTTAGAGACCAAAAACAGGTCCAGACCTGAGAGATTTACATTTTGGCAGAGGGGGGAATGATGGGAAAGGAAGAAAGGGAGGAAAAGAAACGCTCCATAAATAAAGATATTAATGCGAACAAGTGTGTGTGTGTGTGTGTGTGTGTGTGTGTGTGTGTGTGTATTGGGCTTCATTTCTGAATATTTTAGAACTGGTGGTAGTGATAAACAAGGCCAAACGTTGAGTACTCTCTAAGTTTTTCTTTTGCATAACATCTTTGAATGTACTTCTGTGTTTTGGGATTTTGAGCTTGTTAGCATTTTCTTTTTTATTGCTTGCCAATGTGATATATATGATAATAAAATAAAAATAATGTATGAGGGTTTTTACCTCAAAACTGTGTGGTGCATCTTGGGATTAAAGTTTTGCATTCTAACATGTTTTAGTGCTGTTTTGCTACTGAAAGTGGCAAGGATGTGATGTGATCTATTATAGCAAAACCCTAAGTTCAAAAGGAACCATATTGTGCTTCAGCGCAGAAAACAAATGACACCGTGAATTCTTATTATTTCTACTGAAATGTGTATCCTGCTTTTTCACATAAAAGGGCCTCAAGGCAATTTACACAAAACAATACAAGAATGCTGTAATATTAATAGAACAAGGAGCAGTTCTAAAGAATCAAGCACATGTTAAGACAGCAGCAACATGCTAAAAAATCAACAGAGTAACCTCAAAGTCCTATATATATGTAGAAAGAAAACTGTCCTGGGATTTCTAGGACTTTTCTGTCTAAACATGCAATGATTCATATCTTTACAGCCCACAGGTAACCTTTTCTGCTCTCTTTCCCTGTATCACACCCAACCCCACTCCTTCATTCCTCAGAACCTGAGTGCACAATCCAGTTCTTTCCAAGGGCACAGCGAGCCAGGGTGGGGAAGCTCTATTAACAAGCGTTGAAAGGTTGGGAAGGGGCCTTAGCTCAGTGGTGGGGCACTTGCTTGTATGCAGAAGCTCCCTGCGTTTGTTAACAGGGAAGGCTGGGAGAGACCCCAGTCTGAAACCCTGGAAAGCTGCTGCCCACAAGCAGGTATCCAGCTCAACGCACTAATGGTAATACATGTTATGAGGCAGCTTCCCATGTTCTTGTTAAGATGGTCCTCCTATGAAAAAGCCTTGCCTTGCCTTGCCTTCTTTCTTATACTGCCCAATAAGCAAAGCTCTCTGAGGGGTTTACCGCAATTAATCAACATACAAAAATATACAATAAAACACTAATGCAATAAAACACAGTATAAAATTCCAGTATGAAAATAAAAACAGCTTAAATACCCCAGTATACAAAACTATAAAACATTTGAAACAGTTTAGCACCTAAAACATTTTCAGTAAAGCTAGACTTAATTAAAACAGCAGACATAATTCAACATATGTCATTAAATGCCTGGGAACTGAGGGCAGTCTTGATGTGATTCTAAAAAAATGATAGGGTTGATGCCAGTCAGGCCTCAGCAGGGAGCCCATTCCACAAATGGGGGGGGGGGCACTACTGAAAAGGCCTTCCTCCTTGGTGCCTTTTCCTGGGGCATTACTGGACATGGCAGTTGGAGGAAGGCCCCAGATGCAGATTTTAAGGTCTGGGTAGACTGAGGTTGGGAGAAGCATAACAGTACCTTTTTGTGTTCAAGGAGCCTACAGAAAAAAGCATAGTTAATTTATGCATGCAATGCTGTCAATGACATCTGTGAGGTGTCACTCAATTTTTATCAGAAATTGTCTTATTCTTAAGCCCTAATGATCAAACAGTTAAAGTCACTTTATTTTTATTTTTTATCTTTGTTGCACAACTTGCCCGAGATTTTTCTGCAGCTGGCTGGAACCAACTCAGATCAATGGGAACCACCAAGCATGCCAAACTTGGGTGCCCAGGGAAAACTGTCTAGATTGGCCCCACTGTGTATAGAGTTGAGCTATAGCGTGTGTCAGACTGAGGCAGATGAATGTGGCTTAAACGGGTACATCTATATGTTTCCCAAGAAATTTGAGTAGACCTATTCTCAGACAGTCTTTTTGCCATTGTGTGTGTGAGTGTGTGTGAGTTAGCATCAGTATCTTTTTAAAAAACAGTGTACTATCCTTTTCAAGAAAATGTACACCTGGCATCTGGTTTCAATTTTAGATCAGCCACAAATCACAGACCACTCACTTAAGCTTCATGGTGCTATTTCTCCCTTGGATGCCAGCTTTATTAGTGTATAATAAAACTTAATTCAGAGCATTTTGATATTACTGAGTAGAAGCCGCAGTAGAAAAGCAAAATGGCTATCATAGGACTGAATTCAACTGTGTTGTTCTGCTGTATAAAACATGCAGAACAGTTCCATTAGTGGAACTGGGAAGGGGTGATTTGTCCTCACCCCCCCCTTCCCACTCCACATCCCCTGTGTGCCCTCAGAGTTGTTCTGAAAAGCTGGAAATCCATGAAACGGGTTTTTGGAGCGATGCAATGGGGAAGGAGAGGGAGACAGACCGGTTGCACTTGGAGATTTCCGGTAGAGTAATACTGGATTTAATTCAGAGGGATTTCTGGTCTAGGATAGCCCTCTCCATCAGCCAATGTGGTGCCCCCCAGTGTTTGAGACACCAGCTCCAGCCAGCCTGAATCATTGTCAGTGATGCTGAGAGTTGTTAAACATCAGAAGGGCATCAGGTTG